CACGACAACAGCATTAAACACCATTACCACACAGATTAGCGAGGGTCTGAACCAACGTCGACCCTGCGATAGGACGGTCCTAGTCGCTGTGGACCTGTCGAAGGCCTTCGACACGGTGAACCACGCGACCCTCTGCCAAGACATCCTGGACTCGTCGCTTCCAGCTCGGACGAAACGGTGGATAACCAGCTATCTGTGTGGTCGTCAGTCATCGGTCGAATTTCGAAACGCCAAGTCTAAGCCGCGTAGAATTAAACAGGGGGTCCCCCAAGGCGGCGTACTCTCCCCGACACTGTTTAATCTCTACATGGCCAAACTCCCTCCGCCGCCAGCAGGAGTAAACTTGGTAAGCTACGCCGATGACTGCACAATAATGGCAACTGGCCCCAACATAGACAGACTCTGTGAACAAATAACCGACTATCTCACCGATCTTTCCAACTTCTTCTCCGCAAGGAACCTCCAAATCTCCGCCGCAAAATCCAGCGCCACACTTTTTACGACCTGGACCAAGGAGGTGGGGCTAGAACTGGACGTCTTCGTCGATGGCGCCAAAATACCGACGACCAACCACCCTAAAATCCTAGGAGTGACGTTCGATAGCCTCTTCTCCTTCTCCGCGCACGCCACAGCCACATGCAACAAACTGCGAGCCAGGAACAAAGTCCTAAAATCGCTAGCCGGCAGCACCTGGGGAGCCAACAAAGAAACCCTGCTCGCGACCTACAAGGCAATCGGCCGGTCAGTGGCTAACTACGCGGCACCAGTGTGGACGGCGGGGACAAGCGACACCCGATGGAGGAACCTCCAAACCTGCCAGAATGCAGCTCTACGTACGGCTACAGGTTGTCATCTCATGTCGTCCGAGCATCACCTACATGAAGAAAGCCAGATGCTGGAGGTGAAAGAGCACAACACCATGCTGTCGAAGCAATACCTCGTGGGCTGTCACCGAGGGGATCACCCCAACAATGCCTTGCTTCGTAACGAACCGCCCCCACGACACGTGAGACGACACCTGCATGACTGGAAAGCGGACATTGAGCCGTACGTAGACCATCCATTCGACGCAGCAACATACAGAGCGGCGCTCAACAGCCTACATAGCGATGCGGTCAGAACGAGCCTCAGTACGCGTAATGACAACATCGTCTTGGGCGGTCGACCGCCGCCCATAGACCCAGAAGAGGTAGAGCTGCCGAGAGAGACCAGGTGCACCCTAGCACAACTCCGTTCTGGGTGGTGTCACCGACTCAACAGCTACCTCTCTCGGCTGAACGCACAAGTGGCAAACACATGCCCTGCATGTGGGCAGGGTCCTCACGACACCCAGCACCTCTTCACGTGCACCTCCAACCCTACGACCCTGACACCAGAAGCGCTCTGGACCGCGCCTATCGACGCAGCCCGCTTTCTCGGCCTCAGGCTCACAGAGTCGGAGGATGAAGACGACGACACATGACAAATCTGGGGGGTTGAGCACTGCTGCTACAACAACAACAACAACATGCTGCTGCAATCGCTCTGGAATTTTTCAAGTTTCGACACTTTTCAAAAATATTTGAACTTGCACTTGGCAAGCAGCTACTTAAGATTTATTATAATAGGTGTATTCACGTATTCTTCCAGCAGAAAACTCTCAGCAGCAAAATTCTAATGAAATTTTATTTGTTCTCTCTCAAAGAGAGAAATGTTAGCAAAAGTACACGAACGCAAAACTAGCAAAAATTTGCAAGTTTTTAGTATTGCTGATCGAAATTTTGTTTGCATACAATAGCATTAAACAGAAAACATGAAAATATGAATTAAAAGTTTTCCTAAAACAATTTTCTAATCAAACATGAGTAAAGGAGTATTTGCTTTCTTCCGATCCATTTGCAATTCTAATAAAATATTTTAAACTTAAAAATTATAATAATAAATCTAAATCTAAATCTAAATTTGAAATAAATTTCCAAACTAGGAGTGTTCGCTATGTACAAAATTTGTACAAGTTGGTACTAATTGTTACCAAATCGTGTTCGTTTAGTCAAAAACCCAGTAAAACTTGGAGGGCTGAAAAAGCTGTATTCGTAATCGGAACGCACTCGACACCACTGTCGACATAGGAAATCCGACAGTGACTTCCACAAAGAAATTGAATCGTATGTTGAAGAAAGTCAGAATAAGAAGAAATATACGTATAGGTCCTGTTTTGGTTTCTACCTGAAATTATTTAAAAAGATTATTATGCTCGAAATGCAACCGTGGACGCCAGCTGGCAGTGAAGCTTGCAAATGTTTGCCATTTCCTGTTCGCGCAAAACTTAGTAAGCTTCTCTCTATTCTCTGAATTTTGGTACTGGCTAATTCTTACTGGCAGTTGTATAGCGTACACTCGTATTTTCATAAATTGAAAGCAGATGACTTTGATCAGCTGGTTTTCATGCTGGCAAATGGCTGCTGGCAAAAATTTTTCCAGCAGAAATTAGCAGGCTTTCATCAGAATGAAATGCCAATTTGGTCTCTCAATTTCCCCTTCTTTGCTGGATTTTTGTGTACGCGAACATGAAAATCCGATAGTTTTTTATAGTTATCAAAAACGATCAATACGCGAATAAACCTAATGCCACGTTTACACTACAGTATTTAACTTGTACCTGTAGTCACAAATTCAAAAATATTGAATTAAATGTGAAAGGACTCATGTAGCAGCGGCAATGTGTATAACTTTTTTAGAGTTATTAAAATGGCAGTATCTATGTACCTACTTATTAATGAAACAAATGAAAATTCATAATTACACACACCTGTTTGCACTTGTTCCTTGAAGGGTATTAATTAATTTAAAACCTTTTTTTCAGTTACTTAGAAAACACCCTCACTGCAGTACCAAGTCAAACATTCGATAAACATTTGCAATCTTTACATAGATTTTCGACAAATATCAAGACCATCATATCATACAAAACCCGTTTTCCAACTTTTGATTTCATTATACATCAAGAACAAGATGGAATGCAGCAATTTGAATAAGTAAACTAGTGTGAAACAAAATTGGTAAACAGACATACGGTAAATGGAGGAGAGCTAATGAGTAACAAGTCCAACTAATTATTCGAAATTTACAAAAGGTGAGACAACCAGTTCCATCAACCCAACGCAAATCACAGCCAACTTCAAGACATACGTAACCAAAAGGCAGAGCAACAAAATAAGCAAACGTATATGCAACGAATGAAAGCAAAACAAATGAAAAATTGGCCACACGAAAGAATGCACAGCAATAGTCAAAATACAGCCATATTGTGTATTCGTTTTAACATAAAGCCCCAAATCAATTTTTTCAAAGCATATAGCCTTCGCATTTTTCAATATGGCGCATAGTAACGAGTAAACTCAACGAATGAAAAATAACGAATGGCGAGTTGGGGGCGAAAACACGAAAAACAGAATTTCTACGTCGTAGGAAATCGGTCTAAATGAAAAAAACTCAATCTGATTTTTCTGGCATGAAAACTTTTAATGATGTAACATCGGGTTTAATAAAACTCATTTATTTGCTCACTTTCCATTATAGTGCGTATTCCATTTATACGTATCATTTTAAAATTATACAAAGTTCTAGAAGCAAGCATAATGTGGAGCAGGCATTAGCTGTTCTAAACATAGAACTGTTAGCAAAGATTTTGGATAGGAAGTTTCAAGAAACATTCTTTTGCTGAATTTTCATTGAAAAATGCGGAAAATCTAATAAGCATGGAAAATGAGCGCTTAAAATAATCCCGCGACCAAAGCTCAAACTTGGCTTGGGAGAAAAATCTGCAATATTCGCACAAATTGTATACGCATACTGTTTTTTCGCCTAATCGTAAAATGGGCTGCCACTAAAGCTTGTGATGCTTAATTTAAAATTAGCTCTTATTTAAAATCAAATAATGAAAAAATACCTTTTGAATTTCACTTCATTTTATATACACACATATACATAATTTCAGCGCCGATTAAAAAATTGGCACATTTTATTTACACGAAGCGCCGAGTTTATCGAAAGACAACAAAAAAAATTTACTTACTTTTAAATTCCTTCACAAATGGTAATCTGCTGCTTTTTTGTCAAAAATTTCAAAAATTTTTCCACGTTTAATTGGGCTAATTTTAAACCTTTTAATTTTCTAGCCTTAATATGGCAGCTTGCTTGCTTTGCTTGCTTCGCTCGCAGAGCTCTGCTGAAATTTTTCATAAATTTTTACTTTTGACACATGCACTCTCAGCCAACTTCATTATATACTTTAGCTTCAGAAGAGTACATACAGCGTGTGAAAAAACGAGATGTGCGCATGAACAGAACAATGTGCAAATAAGAGAAAGCCTATGTTTTTACTAAAATAAACAGCTTGCGTGAAACGAGTTAAAAAGAAATGCTTATATGAACAGCTCAGACACAAGCCTACTCGCAAATTGTGCGACAGAAATAAAACTGGACGCCATTTTTTAATTTTTCATCAAAAAAGCGAGAAAGCTAGAAAGATCGAAGAAAAATATGAGAAACCTAAAAGAACGAATACAAATTAAAAATGGCTGCCTGAATATGGCGATAAAAATACTCGGTATTTCTGGGATTTCGCAGGACGCATACATTTTTTCGAATTTACCACAAAATGAAAATCCTTTAATAGGAATCATTTAACTGACTATGGGCGAAAGTTTGACTCATAATTTGAGAAAAATATTTGTGCCTAAGCAAAATGTTCCAGCGCAAATTTGATGAAATGAACTGCGAGTGCAGTACAAAAGCACACAAACATCATCGGCTAGTGATTTGCGTATGCAGTAAGAATACACAATTTTGTTTCTGTATTTATGACCGAAAAATGGTAGTATACTAAAAAAATTTCAAGTTGAGCACAAAATAGGTGTGCAATCTGCTAAAGCTTACAATTCGTGTTTCTATGTGCTAGAAAAAATAGTGTGATATTTAAAGAACACATGTAGGCATATACATATTCCAAATTTACTTACCTTAATTTGCATATGAAAACTGCCAATCTTATTTTTAATTCAAATTTATAGTCTGCGCAATATACAGCTTTGTATGCGTATAATTGTAGTCATTTATGTAT